AGATTCTCCAGCATCTGCAGTTCCTACTATCTCTGATACATTCTGTAAGAGTATTATTTACAGAATACTTAGGATATGTCATTCACAAGAAACACGGAGAATGCTGGAGAAAGCAGGTTCGGCAACATCCGCGGAGAGGAACAGAGTTAACATTTCCAGTCCAGATTTACTCTTCTTCACAATTGAAAGGTCTTGGAAAATAGCTTTTTTAAATGCATGTGGTAAAGAGGTAGAGGAGGAGCAAAAGTGCAGACGGTATAGAGACTCCTGGCGCAAAAGACAAAGGAGAGAATTGGTCCTTTCTATTAAGTGCAAATTAAACTAAACACAAACATGACACAGCTGGGGGGTTGGCAGGGTTTTGAAAAGACATAACAGACATAATGTGGTCATTTTATACTTTATCTGTGTTTGTCTGTGTACCTGGTAGACCCACCAAGGTTGAGGGTTGTAAAGGAGAAATTTAAGACAGACATCAGTTGTACTTCGTTTCATAGACATAGCCTACGGCTGGAATAGTTAACAGCAAGAGATGTTGAGGGCAAAACATTGAATCATTAAGGGACCAACTGGACATTTTAATGGAAAGATGATAGGTTTGTTCACATGAAAAGATGGGAACAACCAGTTTCAATGGTTTTCTTCATCTAAAAACATCTTTTGTTATTTATATGTCTTTACTACACTGTTCATTACCCTTAGGGTGGAACACATTGTAAGCAATTTTTAGACACAACTGGTGTAGGCCATAATTTATCTATATAATAACGCTTTTTGTGTCTATATGATTGCAGAGTCACAAATTGCTTTTTGCTTGGCCCATGCTAGCCAGAGGGCACCATCAGTCAAATGCACTTCACAGAAAACACATTAAACTTCCATACTAAAAAGTGAAAGTTTACGTAAGTAGAAATAGCTCCAACCATTTGAACAAAGATGTAACTCAAAGCTTGAAGGTGATGCAATGAGAGGTTTAAAAATCTTTATTATCTGGCTCTAAATTTAAGTTAATTGAATCCCTGTCCCTGATCAAACCATAGGTCCTTAGACAAGTCTAAGATTCACTTTATGAATAGGTTCACTCTTATTTGACAGCAACTGAGACCTACTGAACTTTTAAAAATGAATTGCCCAAGTGCAATGGCGAAATATTGCCTGTAAACATTTACACAATCTCAGCAGCCAAATGCACCAGTCTAAATTTTCCTCTGGTTTTGGAGAAAGTTTTGCCAAAGGTGAAGACAGTAAAAGGCTCTATCATCCAAACCTGAGCAAGTGTGTTTAAATGACACGATAATAAGTGAATGAGATCATCACGCCCATTTTGTTTCGCTATTGCCATGGCAATGCTAGAACAACCAGGTGGATATGGGGTGGGGAGATCAAGATTAAGGTGTAGAGTTAGTAGGAATTGCAGATGCTGGAGAATCTGAGATAACAAGGTGT